GGACTCAAACTGCAGTTGGCCATGTGGGAGTCCATCACTCTAACCACCATGCGACCTCCTGCCCCTCTTTTTTTTTGAGAGAGAGGTTTTTGCTATAGGGCACATGCGCTCACCAGAAAGAAAGAGAGAGAGAGAGACAGAAAGCAAGAAATCACCCCCCATGGGGGATGGCCACACTGCAGTCTCTTCTCCTCCATTCTCCTCTCGGGATCTTGGGCATGCACACACATGCATCTGGCATGAGTGTAAGCCACCGGGTCCAGGAATCGAACCATGGTTCACTACATGGGAGTCCAGTGCCATTATGCTAACTGCTGGTCCCTTTAAAAAAATAATTTAAAAATTTTTTGAAGTCAACAAATGGTGAAACGGTTATGGTGCTGGAATCCCACATAGTTGACTGCAGTTCATGTCCCAGACCCAGCAACTTAAAATTCAAGCCGTGCATGTGTGTGTGCATGCCCAAGATCCGGAGAAGAGACTGAAGGAATAGGGATTGCAGTGTGGCTATCCCCCCCAGGGAGAGTGTTTTTCTTTCTGTCTCTCTGGCGAGCACACATGCCCTATAGCAAAAATCTCTTTTTTAAAAAAAGTATTATTTTAATTTACTATCAGGCACATGTGCACACACACAAGAGAGAGAAAATGAGAGAATAAACTGCCTATTCTGAGACTCAAACCGTGGTTGGTTATATGGGAGTCCAACGCCTTTACCAGCATGACACCTGCTGGCTCCATCCCAGGATGTCTTCTTTCAAGCCACTGAATCCAGGATTCAAACTGCATGGAATCTGGTTCCTTTAATCTCCAGGCCATAAAGTGTCACATCTATCTGTGAATTTTCCAGATTTCTTTCTGTTACTGCTTTATAGCTTTTTGCCCTTTGAATTGGTGAAAGTACTTTGTGTAATTTGGATATTTTTAATCATCTTGTTTCATGGCCACACTAAGGTCACATTTGTTTTGTGGCCTAACACATAATCTATCCTGGAAAGTATTTGAAAAGAATGCATAGTCTTTTCTTTTAAAATTTTTACCAGAGAGGGAAAGTGAGAAAGTGCCTCCCATGGGGGGTGGTCACACCACAATTTCTTCTCCTTCACTTCTCCCTCCCTTTGGGATTTTGGGGCACACAACACACATGTGCCTGGTGAACCACAGGCTGGCCCAAGAATGCATATTCTGCTGCTGTTTGATGACATGTGTGTGTATATATGTATGTATGTATGTATATGTGTGTATATATGTGTGTGTGTGTGTGTGTATATATATATATATATATATATATATATATATACACACACACCTGTTAGGTCTTCTTGGCTTAGTATTGTTCAAGTCCTTTATTTCTAGATATTCTATTCATTATTGAAGTGAGGTATAAGAGTCTCCAACTATTATAGAACTGCCTATTTTTCCCTTAAATTCTGTCAGTTTGCTGCATGTGTTTTGGGATTCTGTTGTCTGATGCATGGATCTTTATAACTTGTTTTTCTTCTTTATGAGTTGATAATTTTATTAATACATAATTCTATGTCTATTTTAACAATTTTTAACTATTTCATTTGATGTTAATATGACCATCTCAACTTTCTCTTGGTTACTATTTGCATAGAATTTTTTTTCATCTTTTTATTTTCAACTTATGTATCTCTTTGGATCTAAAATGAGTCTCTTAGAGACAGCCTATAGTTGGATCATGTTTTTTTCTAATTCATTCTGCCTGTTTCTTTTCATTGGTGTCTTAGTCTGTTAGGGCTACTATAACAAATATCTTAGACTAGGTAACTTATAAACAAGATAAATATATTGCTTATAGTTTTGTTTGTTTGTTTTTTGAGAGGTTTTAGCTGTAGGGCACATGTACTCTCCAAACAGACAGAGACAGAGAGACAGAAAATGAGAAATCACCCCCAGGAGGGATGGCCATGCCTCAATCCCTTCTCTTTCATTCTCCTCTCAGGATCTTGGGTGGGCACGCACACACACGCACCCAGCATGAATTTAAGCCACCGGGCCCAGACTCGAACTGTGGTCGACTACATGGGAGTCCAGCAATGTAGCCATTATGCCACCTGCTGGTCCCTATATTGCTCATAGTTTTAAAGGCTGGGGAATACAAGATCAAGACTCCAATAGATTTGGTATCAGGTAAGGATCTTTTCCCTCATAGATGGATTTCTTTTCACTATAACATCACATGACAGAAGGGGCAAACAAGTTCCCCTGGGCATTTATAAGGGCACTGATCTCATTCATGAGGTCCTTGCCCTCATGACCTAATCGCCTTTTAAAGACCTCCACCTCTTTATTTCTTTATTTAACTTTTTAAAAAATTTATTATTATTTTCCAGTTCGATCAGAGAGAGACAGAGAGGGAAAGCGAGAAAGCAAGCCATCAGATCCAGGACTTGAACAGTGGTTGGCCATGTGGGAGTCCAGCGCCTTTAACCACCATACCACCTGCTGGCCCCAAGACCTCCACCTCTTAATACTATTGTACTGGGGATTAGATTTCAACATATGAATTGGGGGTAAGGAGAGACACACAATCATATAGACCATAGAGGAGAAACACACATTCAGACCATAGCAATTGGTAAATTTAATCTATTTACATTCAAAGTGATTACCAATAGGAAAGGAGTTCTGCCATTTTGTTATATGTTTCCTATATGTTATATCTTTTTTGTTCTTCAATTCCTCGAACATTACATGTAAAACATGATACTCTGCTAGGCAGTCCCATATGAGAAGGTTCTGAGTTCATGTCCAGAGACCTCCCTGAGGGCAGGGCACACATTTGCACATGATCTGGGATTGAGCTGAAGGCTGAGGATGGATCACAGCATCAAGAGCAGTTTGCGTAATGGCCATGTTGCTGGACTCCCACGTAGCTGGCCGCGGTTTGAGTCCCGGACCCAGTGGCTTAAACGCCGGGCGCATGGCGTGCATGCCCAAGATCCCGAGAGGAGAGTGGAGGAGAAGGGATTGCAGCGTGGCCATCCCCCCTGGGGGGTGATTTCTCGCTTTCTGTCTCTCTGTCCGTCTGGCGAGCACACATGCCCTATAGCAAAAACCTCTCCAAAAAAAAAAAAAAGATTTTGTTGAGGGCATTGTCTCACCATCTTTCATGGAAGAAGCAAATTAAAATTTTAAGAGGGCCACAGAAGATGGGAAGTAATAAAGCCTTTACCTTACTGACTCATTTCGAGATGTGTGAAAGCAGCATGGTACTTATACCCCAATGTTTATTTCTTTGTGTTGCTCTGCGGGATGCATCCTGTGCTAAATGCTGGGGTAAAGATGACCTGCCTAGGAGGATCAGGCAAGCACACAAGATGATACAAAGCAGAAAGTGCTGGGAAACCTCAGAAAAAGATTCTTTGATGCATCCTGTAAGTCCTGAGGATAGATAACCTGGACAGATGATGGTAGGGTGCTGCTCAAGAGAAGCTGGATCCCACATAGTGACCATAGTTTGAGTCATTGGTGACAGGTTGGAGGACTGGAGGAAGGTGATTATGGTGTAATCAGACCCTATGGAGGATGCTTACCTCTTTGACTTGCATGCGTGCCCTGTATCACAAATAAAGAAAAGAATCCTCCCCCAAATTAAAGCCTCTTCATGCTTTCCTATTAAGTCTGGTTTCTTTAAGCATTAGTGTTTCAGATGAATAAAATCTGTCTTCTTAAAAGAAAAAGAGGGGCTAGCAGGTGGCATGGTGGTTAAAGTGCTGGACTCCCACATCATCAATGGCAGTTCAAGTCCTGGACCTGGCTGCTTACTTTCTCATCCTCCCCTCCCACCTTCATCTCTCTGGTCAAATTGAAGAAGAATAAATTTTTTAAAATATAATTCTTTTTAAAAAGGAAGAAAGGGAAAGCAAAAAATTAATTAGCTAGAGTTTCTAATATGGCTCCCTAGAAAAAGCAGTACATCTAACAGTAAACACATCAATGCATTCCTCCCAGTCTTCTAAAGCTGGACCTTTTCCTTGAGATCCATAGAAAACAAAAGGCAGTAAGCCTTGAACTGCCTCCTTCAAGAAGAAACAGATGAGTCAAAAGACAGAAAAACTCAGTGAAAGCTAAATCTAGATTTTTTTTCAAATTTGTTTTAAAAAGTTATTTAGGAAACATTAAGAGCCTTGAACTAGTTCCCAAAACAAGTAATGAGAATGCATAAAAAAGATTATTTCACATTGTGCAAGCCTTCCCCCTTAGAAGTCAACAAGAAGAATAAAGCAAGGAAAAAGTACTGATGCAGACAATTCAGGAAGAGAACTTTCAGACACCAGTCCCGTCCCTGTTGCCCAAATGAGGGGACTGAAGAGAGAGTCTTGGATTCCCTAAGGCAGAGCACAGCAGTGTAATACATGAATGAATCTGGTACACCTGCCCTCTACAGCCCTTTCTGAAAGCCATGTAACAGGAATTCAGCGGAGAAAACTTTTGATTCACCACCGTCTTTCATTGAGAGATTGTCTCCTTTGCTGGGAGATTGGCACAAGGCGATCACCCCCTTCCTGCACCCTCACTGGCGGAGCCCACCCCTTGCTTTGGGGAGATAGTAATGTTTTTATGGCGCCTGCAGTGTGAACATTTCTCCTCTCCTTACCCACCCAGAAACTAGCGCCACTCCAGACGTCTTCATTGGACCTTTGCCCTCCCAGTCCTGAGGCCCCTGGCGTCAGTCTTCTCTCCTTCCGAAGGGTGAAAGGCTTTAAGGTTCTTGGAAGTCATTGCGAAATCGCAGGTGTCCCACAGGTGGAAAGGGTCTAAATTTCTGGCGGCCAATGAGCGCCGCCGAGGAGCCGCGGGCTGCGCGCAGTGAGGAGCAAAGCTGAGCCGTGGGCGGAGCCAGCCTAGCGGGGCACAGAGCCCCAGCCGCGGTACCTACTGTGGGCCGCACCGGTTGCACCGAGTGGAGCCATGAGCTGGACCTGCCCGCGATGCCAACAACCCGTTTTCTTTGGTGAGACACAGACTGAGGAGGGGGAGAAGATAGGGGCGAGTGTGAGCCTCTGGGTTCCCGGAGGACTCGGGGGCTGGCCGTGGTTTGCTCCCAGACACTCCATCTGCAGAGGCATGTCCTCTCCGCACTTCTATCTGGTCCCATTCAGCTCCCCACCCTTCCTCTGAGAGCTCGGTGGGGTGCATGGCATCAGGCAGGATGGCCCTGGCCTCCCGGAGAGCTTCACGGTCTCAGGGGAGAGAGGAGGGCTTCCAGTGTTTGGCCTGGCTCCTCGCAGCCGGTTCCACCTTGTCCCCCACAGCTGAGAAGGTGAGCTCCCTGGGAAAGAACTGGCACCGATTCTGTCTGAAATGTGAGCGCTGCCACAACATCCTCTCCCCCGGCGGGCATGCAGAGGTGAGGCCTGGCTAGGGCCACAGCCCTGTGTCACTGCCCCAGGCACTGCTCCCCCACCCCCTAATTTCAGCCCTGGAGACCTGCCACAGGCAACCTTAGCAGCCAACTGCAGGGTCATCTACCCCGTGGGCCCCACGCCAGCCAGGATTTGGGGATTTGGGGAGCCGAAGTTGTGCAAGAGGCAGGAGAGGAAGGAAGTAGCACAACTTCCTGATCTACTCTTCCCCTTCCTCCTTCCACCACAGTGGCAAGTCTGGCATGCCAGCCCATCACCCATCTTTCCCAGTCCACCAAACCAGGCCAGTGAACAGACACACAACACAGGGCAGTCAGTCTTGGGGAAAGGCATGTGGGGTACAGCTCTCCTGGGCCCTGAGCAACTCTTTTCCCTCTGCTTGTGCCCAGCACAATGGAAGGCCATATTGCCACAAGCCATGCTATGGGGCTCTGTTCGGACCCAGGGGTAAGTACCAGACTGGAAGGAAGGGACCAGAGGACAGCAGAATTCTCCCTGTGACTCTCCCTGTTACTGGCCAGAGGCTCAACCTCTCCTATTCTCTCTGCAGGGGTAAACATTGGTGGTGTGGGCTCCTACCTGTACAACCCCCCTACTCCCACTCCTGCCAGCACCACTCCCCTCAGCCCCAGCAGCTTCAGCCCCCCCAGGCCAAGAACTGGCCTCCCTCAAGTCAAGAAAAGTAAGTAAGACTGGACCTCAGTGGCCTCTCCTCCTCTTCACCCTTCCCCAGGCTGGAGCAGAGGGTAGGGGCAAGTGGCAGTCACCTACCCAACCCTCTGCTTCACATTC